GTATGGGCAAAGTGATGGTGGAGGACGAGGCGGGGGGAGGGGCGGCCGGGGGGGCGGGGGGGGGGGGGGGGGGGGGTCAGAGAAAGCGGGTGGAAAGGAAGCATGGCGGCACAGATGGCGCGGAACACACGTACACGTTCCATGGAGCGCCGCGGATGTGGAAGCCATCCAGAGGGCCAGGAAGAGAGGGGGAGGGGAAGGAGGAAGTCCGCGACAAAAGGCGAGGGTCTGCGGACAATCGGCAGGTGGCGGGAGGAGAGGGGAGGAGGAAGCTGATCGATCGGCCTGAGACCGAGCCCCGAGGGGGGTACTCCCCGAGATATGACCAACGAGGCGATGGTGCCGGTGCGGGCGGCTCGTGCCGGATCGGGCCGCGGGCCCGGGGGGCGGGCGGGGCGGGCGAGCCAGCCGGCCACCGGCGAAGCGGGGATCGCGCGAAGGGCTCGCGCTGCGGGCGGCGAAACGTGAAATTTAAATAATCTGGCCATGTGATTGTCTCGGCACCTGGTGGCGCCATCCTCGGGAGCACCTTGTGCCTAGGGTTGCAGCGCGAATTTCCGTGAAGAGCATGCCCCGGGGGTGGCGACATGCGTCTTGCCCCACCATCATTCCCAACTTGGCCGGCTTGAGGGCTCTGTTTGTTTACTGCCAGGGTGGCTCCCTCGCCCACAAGGCGTCGGTCGGCTGGCTTGTGGGCAATATCCCCTGCGTTGTGCTCCCCCGGCGCCCGCGCAGCATGACTGATTAATCCGAACTCCCCCCCCCCCTGGGGGTGTGCCCGGCCAGGACCAGCTGGGAGAGGGGGCCGGCGAGGGCGGGGGCCTCGCCTGGTCATGGGGATCCACGCCAAGGCTCCCCCTCTTTCAGGGGGCGTCCGCGTGCAACACGCAGAGACGCACACACACACGCACCGAGAGAACGGCGAGTGGAGGCCGGCGAGCAAGGAGTCCGACCGACCGACCGACCGACCGACCAACCAAGGTAGCGACATGGGGCCAGAAGAACGGCAGCGCGAGCCGGCATGGCTACACATATCGAACATAGGAGGCGCGGCAGAGGGTGTGCCCTCCCCCCCCCCCCCCCCCCCTCGCCCCACGCCGGGCCGGAGGCCTTTGGTTTCCGGCGTCTCGAAAGGGGGAAGATGGCATTCTCCAATTGTAGAACCATCCCTGTGTCCTGTCAACCGCCTGACAGATCGCGGGGGAAGGGGGGGGGGGGGTGGCTGCCGGTCCGCATGAAGGCGCACAGGCATGCCAATGTGTGCCGGCCGCCGCCCGGCGGGTAACAGCGCTTCGGCATACCCAGCCCCAGCGTCCGGCATAGTGCCAGCGATTCCACCGATGCCCGGATGTGTCTGCCCTAGCCCTGGGGGAGGGTGTCCTCTTTGCACCGGGGCATTCTGCGCATGCCTGTGGCGGGCAGGTGTCTTAATTTCGGCTCGGCCTTTTCTTTTCTTTTCTCTTTCCTGCCCGGCACCCAGCGGAGACTTGCCCTCCACAAGTCGCCCCCTTTTTTTATTTGCAGCCCCTCCTCCTACCCGCCGGCGGTCGCCCCCTCTTACTGCATGCTTCGTTATCTATGAAGACCCAGTCAAGGGCCGAGAGGCAGCAGGAAGAGATACGCCACGCCCATTTGCCTCTCCTGCTGAATGGCGTCATTCGGGGCGGGGGGAGGAGGAGGGGGGCTCGCGGACGGGCCCAGGCACGGCTTTCGACGCCCAATCCGGAGGCTGGGTCATCTTGAGTGGGGGACATCCCTCCCCGCCTCCGCGGCCTCATGCGGGACACGCGCAACGCGTCGCCCTGTCTGGCTGCTCCCTCGGTCTCTTTCCCATCCCTCGAGGGGGCCAACATGCCGATACCGCGGCCCAGCCGGCACCGATCGAAGCCATGGACACCAGGGACAGGAAGGCTCATTCGCGAGGGGGGGCCGGGAAGAGGGCCGAATTCGGCCGCAGCAAGTCTTGTCGGCGCTGCTCCAAGGGGTGAACACCGGGCGGCCCCCTGTCCGGATGGTCGAGCGGGGATTCCGCGCAGGGACGCTCGGCTGGCGACATCGCCCTCCGCAGCACGGCACGCTGCCACAGGGGAGAAAGAGACTCAGCCCGAGTACGCAGCAGGGCTGGACCGGGGACATGGGGCGATGGCGAGGCGGCGAGGGGAGGCCACTCTACAGGTACTGATGCCCCTGTCGGGGCCTGGCAAGCCGTCTCGCCTCGGCGGCGCCCCATTTGCTCTGCCTGCCACCGAGGCGGCACTGTCTCCCACGCCCGACCGGGGGGGGGGGGGGAGGATGGGGCAGGAACAACTCCCAGAGCAGGCCGGAGGGGTGTAGGCAGCAGCGCGGGGGCAGGGGGTGGGGGCGTGGGGAGGGGCAGAAGAGCCCGGCCCGGGGCTGGTGGAGTCGAGGCGCGCATGCCGACGTTCCTCTCGCGGGAGGTCTGAAGGGGCCCCATTCCGGAACCCCGGTGCCGTCACATCTTCGGTACTCCCCTGCCTTTTTGCCCTCTTGCACCCTCCTCGCGCGCACCCTTCCGCAGGTGGATCTCAGAGCATTTGTCTCTCTACAGTCTGGATTGCATCCCGACCGGCCCCTCTCCTCCCCCTCCCCCTTGTCCATCCCTCTCCCTGCCTCCGCTCTCTCCTTTTTACCTCCAGAATAGGTACACAGCATGCTGGGGCTCCGGCGATGGGCGCCCATGTCCACACAGTCACACACACACACACATATATATATATATACACATACGCATACGCGCACGTATGCATGTGCCATGCGCTGTGCTATGCTGTCAGACGCAAACACGCCAGCAGCGCCTCCCCCCGTCTGGGCCTCTTACTGGCTTCCCTCCCTGTGACTCACCTGCCATACGTACTCACACACACGCACGCACGCACGCACGCACGCACGCACGCACGCACGCACGCACGCACGCACGCACGCACACAGGCACAGTAGCTGGTTAGTCCCGCCGAGCCAAAGCGCGCAGCTTGTCAAACATGCGACACTCCCGGGGCGAATCCATCGCCCTGACGCCGTCCCGGCCCAGGAGACGCCTGATGTCTTCGATGCTCATGGTGGGCCTCGTCCTGGTCGGTCTCATTGGCGCGGTGGCCTTCTTTGCCTCCTCCGGCAGCCCGGCCGATTCCTACAACATGGGCATGGTACGGGAGAGTGTGCGCGCACCCGGAATGCCTGCTTGTTCCCCCTTTGCCAGACCCCGTGGGCCAGCTTGGCCTGTCGGGGAAAAAAACAGGACACCCCCGGCCGCCGAGCGTCAGCTAACACATGCATGGATCGCGTGCCTTGGTCCCTTGTGGCCTGCTGGTTTGCCGCGTCTTTCCCCCCTCCCCCCCCCCCCCCCCTGGTCGGGCCCGATGCTGCCGACGCCCCGACACCCCTCGGCCCGGACCTCCTCGCCGTACTTCGGCTCCAGCGGCGCCAGCCCCCTGACCTCGGCCTCGGTCACCGGACGCCCGAGCGAATTCACCGACCACCCGGCCGCGCGGGAGATCCTCCCCCCCGGGGATCCGACCCTCGGCCGCGACCTGACCATCTGGACCATTCTGCGCGAGCTGACGGTCACCGACCTGAACTCCATCAACTTCGCTGGCAACACCCAGACCGATTGGCTGGAGACCCTGCACACATACAACGCCATCCAGTCGTGGGTTCGTCTGCCCGGGGTCAAGATCATCCTGTTCGGTGATGAGCGCAGCTGCGACTTCGTCATGTCGGTGCGTATGCGCACACACGCGCCCAGACACACACACACACGCACGCACGCACACATGTGGAGATAAGCAGACAAGCAGAGAGTCCAATCGGCTGCGGCGATCTGGCCGTACACCGCTGCCCACCCACTGGGCGACCTTTCTCCCCTGGTCGGGGGGGGGGGGGCGGCGCACACCCCCTGCGTCCAGCTTGCTTTGCTCCCCTCCCTCCCTGCACTCCTCCTCTCCTATCCCAGCCGAACGCCCACCGGTGGAATTGAACTCTAACGTGGGGAAAAAAAAACACTCGCAGTTCGTGCCCCCCTCGCGGGCGGTGTGTCTTCAGGTGCCCTGCATGCACCCGGAGCTCAATGTCCCCCGCTACGACTGCCTGTTTGCCCGGGCCGCCGAGCTGGCCGACACCGAGTACATCATGTACTCCAACTCGGACATGGTCTACTTCGAGGACATCCTCTATGCCATGCATTCGGTGCGTGCTCCGCTCGGAGAAACATCAAGCGCTGGGGGGAAGAAAAACAGAGACGGCCCGCCGCTCGGGGATATCCTCCCGGTGTGAGGGGGGGGAAGGAGAGAGAGAGAGAGAGAGAGAGAGAGAGAGTCTCCTCCGTGTGCTGACTTGATGCATCTTTCATCCCGCCACCCACTGCCCGATCAACTCCGTCCATTGGCCAAATTCGGCCGGATAGGTTGCCTCCCAGCATGAGGACTTCCTGATGGTCGGCCAGCGCATCGACATCCTGTACCCGCGTCTGATTGACTTCAACAACCCCATGTGGCGCGAGGACTTCAAGCGCACCGTGCGTCCACTGGAACACGCATTGTCATCGCCCCCCCTTCGCGTCGCGTGTTTTTCTTTGTGCACACACCCGTGAGGGCGAGCGCGCCGCAGTGGCTGCCCTTTCTTTCTCCCAGGAAGGGGTCGAGAGAGACAGAGAGAGAGAGAGAGAAAGAAAAAGAGATGGGCAGATGCCCAGTGGAGGGGAAAAAAAACCCGGTGCACACCACTCGATAATGGTACTGACACGCAGGCGTGCGCCTCTTCCTCCCGGCTGATCGCCCTGCCACGATCGCGCCCCCGCCGCGGCCTTCCACAGGTCGAACGCTACGGCAAGACACACGGCAAGTATGGGATCGACTACTTCCTGTACCGCACCCGCTATGCCCGCCCCATGCCGCCCTTCATCGTTGGCCGTGTGCGTTACACATGACATGCTCCCCCTCTTCTTCTTCTTCTTCTTTTCTGTGGCCCACCTGGCCGCCGTGCCACACGCCACCCGAGCACGCCCTGCCATCGCCAAGGCCCCGCCCCCACCCCGGGAGAAGCGACTCGCTTTATGATGCTGCTCCGTGGCACTCTAACACCAAGAGGAAACCCCCCGCATCGGCATCTTGGCTCGCGCTTTCGGCCATCACCATCCTGCCGGTGTCGCACCTTGCCACCCATCCGCTCCGGGGGCTGGGGGGGAATGCTGCAGGTCCGCTGGGATAACTGGCTGCTGGCGCAGTTCATCGGCAATCAGAATGCCGCGGCCGTCGATGCCACCGAGGTGGTCTTCGCCGTGCACCTCAACCACATGAAGGTATGTGCCACCGCGCGGGACTTGGCCAAATCCCCGTCCCCTCGGGTGCCACCTTGCCCGGGGGGGGGGCATCCCCCGAGAACGCCCGCCCTCCCTCAGATGCTAACCCCACGTCCCCGCCGCCCTGCCCTCCTGGGACATTGCCCCACGCGCCGCAACACGCGCCACAGGTCGGAGGTAGCCACTCGCGCTCCGGCACCGACTACAACATCAACCTGACCAAGTCCGATGCCGTTGACCCGAAGAAGCTCGGCGATGTGGAGTCCTGCGACTACTACTTGGCGCCGATCCCCAACTCCCCGGGCAATGCCCTGAGCCCGAAGAACCTGCCGGCCGGCGAGTCGGCCCCGTCGGTGTTCACTCGGCCCGGCGCCGACTTCAGCACCACCTCCTCGGCCCCCTCCGGGGCGTGTCCCTTCTGCACCCTGCGCCCGAAGGAGCAGTCCATCGACGTCATGCTGGCCAAGCAGGCCGACCCGCAGACGCGCGATGTCATCGTGGCCACCGTCAACTCCGGCTACCTGGACTTCTCCATCAACTGGATGTGCACCCTGCTGCGCATTGGCCGGAAGAACTTCCTCTTCCACGCCACCGACCGGGCCATGTACACGATCCTGCGCGATCGCGGCCTGCCGGTCATCTACTACGAGAGTAACATCGCCCTGGAGTACAAGGCCCTGCTGGCCCAGTCGGCCAATGGCTCGTTCATTGTCTCCGCCGATGAGACCGCCGCCGATGGCACCCCCCGCGAGAAGGCCTACGACTATGGGTCGGTGGCGTACCAGGCCCTGATGAACAGCCGGACCGAGTTCATCTACAAGATCCTGCAGAAGGGCTACAATGTCCTGCTGTCGGACGTGGACGTGGTGTTCCTGCGCGACCCGCTGCAGTTTGTCGACCGGAACCTGGACATCCAGGGCGGTGCCCACAAGGTGGAGAAGATCACCGGCGGGTTCATCTACTTCCGGGCGACCGACGCCGCGCGCGCCCTGTGGGTCAAGGTCCTGCTTCAGCACCGGACCGTCTTCAAGAAGATCCAGGCCATGGAGAACTTCAACATCCACAGCATGACCGAGCAGGAGCTGGTCAACGAGCTGCTGAAGGCCGCCAAGCCGGACGAGATCAAGTGGGGCACCATCGACGAGAAGGTGGTGGCTGATGGCAAGCGGTGCGTGGTCATCGGCGTGAGCAGTGTGCCACCGGGGGGCGGGGAGGGGAGGGGGGGGCCTTCGAGGGAGCATCATCCTGCGATCCTGAGGACCCGCTCCCGCAGACACACATACGCGCGCACACACACACACACACACACACACACACACACACACACACACACATACATGCCACAGAGAGGAAGAGAGAGAAGATCCGAAGTGACAACGCCCACTGACATCAGAACGCAAAATGCACCCTCTCTCGGCGCTCGGCCGCGGCTACGGACCGGGCGGGGGGATACACCCACAATCGAACAACAGCTTCTTCATTGACAAGCTGTCTCAGAAGAACGGCGAGTGGCCGGCTGCCATCCACAACAACTACATCATCGGCGTGGACAACAAGCGCCAGCGCTTCATGAACATCTCCATGTGGCTGGTGGATGATGACCTCCGGTGCCAGGCCTTCCCCGGGCTGCAGGCCCCGACGCCGTACACCCTGCCGCTGGCCCATGTGACCGGGCCGCCGGCGCGCGGGTCCAGCGGCATGCGCGCCCTGGCCAGCAGCCCCGCGGCCCTGTCCCCCGGCAACGGGCCGGTTCCGGCCACCGTGAAGGACTTCCGCCTGACGGTGAAGATCATCGCCTTCAACCGGCCGCGCGCCCTGCTCCGGCTGTTCCGGTCGCTGGATGCGGCGGACTTCATGGGAGACAAGGTGGACTTGGACATCTACATCGACTTCCCGTCGCCGGAGCTGGTGGCCAATGCCACCCTGGAGCAGAATGACCCGAACAACGAGGCGGACATCTCCCTGCAGGAGTATGCCCGCGTGCGGCAGATGTCCGAGGTGTACCGCTGGCGCCATGGCCGCAAGCAGGTCCACGCCCGTGACAAGCACTACGGCCTGGCCGGCCAGTGGCTGGCCTCCTGGTTCCCCATGGGCACCACCGAAATCGCCATCATCCTGGAGGACGACAACATCGTCAGCCCGTACTTCTATGTGTGGCTCAAGCGCGCCGTCGAGTATTACTACTTCAATCCGGAGCAGTTTGACCCGCGAGTGTATGGCATCATGCTGCAGAGCCAGCACATGATCCCGGGCCGGTACCCCAAGCGCCCGAAGGAGTTCCTGCCGCACGACGCCAAGTTCTTCCGCTACCAGCTGCTCAGCACCTGGGGGCCGGTCTTCTTCCCGCACCACTGGGCCGAGTTCATCTCCTGGTGCGTATGCCCTGCTGTGTGTGTGTGTGGAGGGCCCCATCGACGATTGGGCAGTCGGGCGGGGGAGAGAGAGAGAGGGGGGGCGGGGGAAGAGTCCCGACGGTGTCATGCGCGCAGATGGCGGTGAGGCGTCGAGATTTTGGGCCACGAGACTCGGAGAGGGGAATCGAAGAAGGGGGGAGGGGTGGGGCAGGCGGCAATGGTGACCTGTCTCTCGGGGGCTCGCGATGTGTTTGGTCGCGTGTGTGGGGGGTCACTCTGGGGGGGGGGGCGGGGAGGGGGGGGGCACGCAGGGGACTCCACCCCACAACAAGGGCCGCACACACCAAGATGAGTAGCTTCACACACCGGCGACTAACAAACGCACACACACACACACACATACACACCACACGCGCAAACATAAATGCGTCCCCCCTCGGGCCACCGCCAATGCTTGGCCCTGTGTCCCCCCCCCCCTGGTACCCTGCCGTGTGCGCACCGCCCGCTCTCCATCTCCCTCTCTCCCAGGTTCAACGAGAAATCCAGCGACCCCTCCTTCCAGCCGCTCTTCAGCAACATGATCACCAACAGCTGGTTCCTGGCGCGTGGCGGCGGCCGAGCCGTCTGGTCGGCCTGGTTCATGCGCTTCGCGGCCGAGCGCGGGTACTACGCCCTGTACACGAACTTCCCCGATGGCCAGGCCTTCGTGGTGAACTATCGTGACAAGGGTGTCAATTACCACAAGGACCAGGGGGCCAACTCGCCGATGGTCGAGCACATCATGCCCTACATGGATGTCCTGCCGCCGATGAAGGAGCTCCCGCTGTACGACTTCCACTTCAACCGCATCGACCCGGAGGACCCGTCCATCCTGGAGGACCGCGCCATCTACTCGGACATCTTCAACATCGAGATCAACTGATGGGAGGGGCGGGGGCCCGTGTGTGTGCGTGTGTGTGTGTGTGTGTGTGTGTGTGCGTGTGTTTGTGTTTGTGTGTGCGTGTGCGTGTGGGGGTGGTCAAGGAGAAAAGCGCAGCCAGGAGAAGAGCCGCACGCCGCGGGATGGCGGCATTCGCGCCCCGCTGCATGCGCCCATGTGCGCCGCTTCTCGCTGTCTGCTCGTATGTCCTTGCCCCCTCGCACGCGCGCGCACACGCACACACACACACACACACACACACACGCACACGCACGCCGGCCTTTCCTGCTCTGCCACGCCTGTCCAGCCACACTCACACGGACGCGTGCCCCCTTGTGGGGGAGAGCGTAAGGGTGGAAGCTGGGTGGCGAGAAGACAAAGCACCAGAGAAGGGGGAAGAGAGAAAGAAAGACACCCCCCTGTAACAATACACAACTGCCGATCAAGGGAAGCCCCGACTGGGTCATGAGCAGGCCGGAAGGGGGGGGGAGACCCTGGTGCGGTGAAAGGCGGGGATCTCGTCGGCGGTCGTGCGAGAAAAGTGT